CTGACCCACTCCTCCTCCCCCATCAAACTCTCCCTCTCTGCCTTTTATAAAAGTCCTACACCCTTCTCCCTGCGCATTGTCCGAATACACTATGCCTAGAAGGGCAGAGACTTCTGTCTGTTGATCTAGAGGCAGCCAATCCCACGGACAGTTCAAGGTAAAGATGAAAATTTACATGGACAATATAAGGTAGAGGAGGGGGAAGCTTCAGATTCAGTTGATCCTGTTCTTAGAAAATGTGATGCCATCTGGTTCCCAGAACATAGCAGGTCCTTCACGGAGTCAGAAAACAAACACAAACTGTACCACAGAGGTGGAGCCCTAAGGAGGTAACTAACCAGGGCCAACTGCTGGCATGGTGGTTAAGGTGGCTGGATCCCACATGGTCAACTGCATGGTTCAAGTCTTGGACCTGGAAGTTTGAAAGACATGCCTGGCATGCGTATGTGTACCCAGCATCTCAAGAGGAGAATGGAGGAGAAAGAATTACGGCAGGGCCATCCCTCTTGGGGGCTGCTTTCTCACTTTCTTCTTCTCTCTACTGAGCATGAGTCCTATAGCAAATTAAAAAGAAAAATAGGGACCAGCAGTTAGCGTAATGGCTATGTCTCTGGACTCCCACGTAGTCAACCGCAGTTCGAGTCCCAGTCCCGGTGGCTTAAAACTCACGCTGGCCACGTGTGCATACATGCCCAAGATCCCGAGAGGAGAATGGAGGAGAAGGGATTGTGGCATGGCCATCCCCCACTGGAGGGTGATTTCTCGCTTTCTGTCTCTCTGTCTCTCTCTGTCTGTCTGGCGAGTGCATGCGCCCTATAGCAAAAACCTCTCAAAAAAAAAAAAAAAAAAAAAAAAAAGAAAGAAAAAAAAGAAAAGAAAAAGAAAAAGATAACAAATCAAATGAATTGAATACAAATATAAACATTTTAGAGACCTGAAGACCAAGATATGGCCTCAGAAGCAAACACATGAGGCCAAAAGGAGACCTCAAAAAGTGGAAGAGAAACCAGTGTGCAGGTGGCTGCGACTTGCAGGAGATGTGAGGACAGTTAGAGTCCCACTCGTGTCACCTGTGACGACACTTGGAAGCCCAGTGTCTCTGGGTGCTGATCACAGAGCACTGAACAGTGGCGGGCAGATGGGGCATTTTTAAGGAGGGGTACTCATGAGTGCGGGCCAAGCCCTGTTTCTATCTTTACCATTGTTAGTGTTAATTAAAGGGTGTTTCCCATGTTTGTGCTTCATGGAGCTTTTGCTCTATTTTTGTTTAAATTTGATGTTTTTCTAATTTCCAGGCATGAGCACTCACTAGACAGAGAGAGAAAGAGAGAGACAGAAAGCACCCCCAAGTGGGGCATAATCATGTCACAAAATCCTTTTTCTTCCACTCCTCCTTCCCATGAGAATTTTAGGAATGTATGCACACGCACCTGGCATATTTTTCAAGCCACCAAGATTTGAACTGTGATCAACCATATGAGATCCAGCTCCCATAACTGCTATGCTATGGGGCTGGCCCAGCTTTAATTTTAACTTCAATAGCTGGTCCAGGTCATTCCATCCTGCAGCATTCTCAACTCCAGGACAGGTGGGGTTTGCTGAAGAGAACAGGCCAAGTTGGAGAAACCATCATCTGTTTCTCATGGATCATTCCTCAGCTTTGAAAAGAGCAGAAGTAGATTTGAATCCTCGGTCAAACACTAACCATAATATTTGAGAAAGTTATCCCTAAACTTTCGGAGTCTTGGTTTCCTAAACTGGAAACCAGTATTATAAAATCTCTCCCTAAAGGTACTGGGCTACTACATGGCTGACCACAGTTGAATCCTGAACCTGGAGACTTGAAACTCATGCCAGATGCATGTGCATGTGTGCTCAAAATCCCAGGAGAAGAAGGATTGTGGGGAGTGATTTCTTGCTTCTCCCTTTATGTCTTACCAGTGAGTGCACATGCCCTCTAGCAAAAATTTCTCTCAAAACAAAAACAAACCCAAAAACAAACTCTCTTCCTTAAGCTTTGAAAGGCACAAAGCAGTATGAATTGCTTTGTAGTAATTGCTAGGCAGTTATTACTATAAGAAAGTTCAGCTTCCCCCTTCAAAGGGCACAGATCAGCAGATACTATGCTGAATAATCTTCTCCAACAAGACTTTAACGGAAGGATCTGATCACATCAGATTTGAATGCAAGCCCACTCCGGCCCTGGTATACTTTTTCCCCTGAAAAGCATGACTTCTAAAGCAGTGCCTGTGGTGGGAGAGAATGGGAACAAATAGTAAGTGTGGTTACCAAGGCCCAGCTCTGTGGCGCAGCAGTAACGTACTGTTCAAGAGAAGAGAGATCCCATATGGCAACCGCGATTTGAATCCCCAGCCCGACCATGTGATCATGCGGACACACACATGAATGCCCAAATGTGAGGGTCTGAAGGACTGGAGAAAAGGTATCAAGGCATGACCAGATCCTTTGGAGGATGTTTTACTCTCTCTCTCTCACATGCATGTGTACATGCTTTATCATGAATGAAGACTTTAAATTTATTTTAAAAAAGTGTGATTGCCAAAATACTTGGATCACTTGGGGAGTGATTTTAATATTTTAAGTGGAAAATATTCTATTAAACTTGGAGCAAATCCTCATTTTTTCTAGGCCCCCAAGCCTACTGAAGTCATCATTTATTTAATATTTGCTGAGCATCTACTCTGCAAAAGACATTATGCAAGGAAAGAAAAACATGGTTTCCTTCCTCTTAATGGTGCCTTAATGGTGATACATACATTAAACAAGAGTCACGCAAATAAATATTTAATTAAAATTGTGACAAATGCCATGAATAAGGAAATCAGAATGGGTGACTTCCAAAACAGAGAGACCTATCTGAACTTCATCTTTCTGAGACAAGTCTCCCTACTCCCCAGTGCAGGAAAACAATTTTCTGTGAAAAGCAATTATATAAAGCAATTCAATGAAGCAAAATGAAACCCAGCATGAAAGGAGAGGTGAATATATGAGTTCTATTGGGTCTTTAGAAAAGTCATGACACATTTCTACATAGAAAAACACAGAAAAACATGTCATGACTTTTCTGATGACCCAATACTTTGGGCTCTCCTTTGCTCCTAAACAATGAACTTGTTGGCCAATGATTATTTATTTATTTATATTTCAAGAGGTTTTTGCTATAGGGTGCATGTGCTCACCAGAAAGAGAGAGACAGAGAGACAGAAAGCGAGAAATCACCTCCCCCAGGGGGGATGGCCACACTGCAATCTCTTCTCCTCCATTCTCCTCTTGGGATCTTGGGCACCCACGCACACATGCCCTGTTTTAATTTAAGCCACTGCGTCCGGGACTCACACCACAGTCGACTACATGGGAGTCCAGCAATGTAGTCATTACACCAACTGCTGGTCCCAGCCGTGATTATATTTTGAGGTTGTTAAGGAGGAGTGTCCTCTTTGGGTGTCCAACCCTATTCCTAGTGAAGACTTGACTGAGATAAGGAGCATGGATATTATCAGTTAGTAATTAAGAGGCTCAGCTTGACATACAAGAGTGAGCACCAAGCAGATCCTGAACACAACCAAATCTAAGAAAATAGACTGGAATTATCACTGTCCCAACCTTAAAGATATGTATGGTACAGTAAGTTGTATCAAGGAAGTATGTCCCTCTCCAATCGTAGGTCTATGCATTTTAGTTGGAGACAGAGCTGAATGGTTTCTAGAAGCTTCTAAGAGCCTAAACACGGTGCCCTACCTGGAGCCGTTCTTTCTCTGCCATATCTCTAAAAGTCTAGAATGAGGACAGCCTGCAGTTGATCACTTGTATGAACTTGCTTCAACAGTCTCAGTGAGGGGGTGGAGTTCCATGTGATCTTCTATATTGTAGTTCAACTCTGGACTCAGCTTGTAGTGGATACTGGTCTCTGGTCCTTTAATTGTGTGGTTCATGACTTTTTGTCCCCCCCCGCCCCCAATGTATTAGGTTGGTCAAATTCTTATGAATACCTGAGGAGTGATTCTCAATATTCCTTCAGAGCACTTCTCTGTGAGAAAAAAAAAAAAGTGAAGATTCAAGATCCATACTAGTTTCTCCATTTTTATCTCTCATTCTACACCTCAGTGAGAGATCAAGATTTCCAGATGAGTAGACACTAATGGTGGATTGGGATCCACCCTAAACTTAGTCTTTAATTTATCTTGGCTTGTAGGAGAGCAACATAAAGTTATAATGGTAAATTATAATTCTTCCCTTGCCAAATCTTAGTTGACATTATTTTCTAGTACTGTGCAAAGTAGGGTGGAGATGATGGTGATGGGGAAACCCTACCTCTTAAGTAAGAAAGGAGGGACAGTTTTCTCATGGGTAAGGACTTTTAATTTTCAAATGGGTATTCGAACTATAATGATTTAATGACATCTGTTTAATGGTTTTGCTTCTTTGTTTTACAGAAACAAACAGTCATTGCTGTCAGAAAAGAGGTAATTAGTTTCTCAGTTCCAGTGAAGTTTGATTTTAAATCCTCTAACAAATTATGTGTACTTTGGCTTTATGCTCTGCACTCAGCAATGAAATGAAAACTATGTGTAGTGTTCAAACAACTCTTTACAAATTAATGGATAGCAAGAATGACAAAGCATCTTTTGTCAGATCTGTGTGGGGCTGATGCTAGGACTTGGGACGTGACACACCCCTTGAAGACACAAATCTGAGGAGTGGCCGTAGAGAGCTATGTAAGTGGGTGCTACAATGTCAGCATTCCCAACCTGCTCCTAAGTTACAGGGCCAGTCAGAAATCTATTTTCTATGGTGAAAACACCCGATTTCAGCAGCTTTTATATCCAGGGCCCAAGATAGAGCCCTTGGAAGCAATGGCCAGTGAGGTGGGATGTGTCAATGGATATCTGAATGAGGAAGAAGGTATTGAGAGAGCAGATGGCTTATTTCCACTGAAGTTGCAGAACCAGGAAGACAGAAGATGTTGGCTGTTATGGGGAAGATTCTCTGTTATTAGCCATAGGTACATGAGGAAAGAGTCAAGCATTTGTTGCCATGTCTCAGTTCAATACTCCTTAGAACATTTTTTCCCCCCAGCTGGTACCTTTTTCAAGACCAACACATAATATGTTAAGAAGGCCAGTAATTTAGAGTTTTGGAGGTCACTCACTTACTGTGGGCCTGAGCCCTACCGATACTGAGGTGGCTCGAGGGACTGGAAGAGGGCATTGTTGTAGATCAATGGCTTCTGGTTTTGGAGGCCATGTGTAAGTGTGTCAGAGTTAGTGACACACAGGGGAAGGAAAGTTGGACATCTTCTAACAACTGTGTCTTTTCCAGATCATGTATTACCAACAAGCCTTGATGAGGTCTACAGTGAAGTCATCAGTGTCGCTTGGAGGGTATGTCCTTGGTTTCATTGGTCTTGCTAAAGACTGAGCGATATGTAGGCAGTAAGAGATTTTTCGTTTTAAGATAAACTTTAAAAGTCAAAAGTAAACTGACCTAAGAACCATGAAGGATAAAACTAATCTCTTTGGGGTTTAGTCTTTAGTTCTTCACTCAGAGTAAGCCTTTAGGTCTCTTGTTAGGTTAGGAAAAAAATCAATGGTGGGTGAGATGCTATAGAATTTTGTTTCTTAGAATCCACTGTGTGGATGGGAAAAGTGGGAAGAAATGTTCATGAACTAGACTCTATGGGAATACAAAAGAGCCTCCATTTCTAGCTATCTCGTGCTTCTGAGATGACACCAAGACACCTGTTTGAATACATACAAACTGAGTTGGCTTTGAATTTTAAAAACTGATAAAATATAAAGAGGTCACATTTTAATGAACTTGTACAGAGAAGCGACAAAGGGACTGGACTGAGAGACAAACGTTCATTTCACTAGCAGAATAGAGACAGTTCTTGTCAAATATTTGTCAATCCCAAGTGTTACTGCAGTGTTTTCCTAAGAAGGCAGTAGGAAGTATGTAACTAACTCAATAAAGGGAGAAAAGGACAAGCTGGTCAATCAGCCTATTGATTTACCCTCAGATACTGGGGCTTCTAGGAAATCATTTCCATCTGTTTTTCAGGATCGTCAAGTACAGTGAGCAGTTTTTGTCCAATGATGCCATCATGTCGGGCTGCCTCCCTAGCAATCCTTGGATAACGGATGACACCCAGTTCTGGGATTTAAATGCCAAATTGTATGTATTTGATATACTGGGATTTTAAAAATAGCTTTTTAAGCTATAATACACATGCTTTACGATTCATCTATTTAAAGTACACAGTTCAATAGTTTTTGTTATATTCATAGAATAGTGCAATCATTACCGCAATTAATTTTAAAACTTTTTCTTTTTAAATTTTTAAACTGTTGCCAGAGGGCATTAGAGAGAGAAACACAAAAAGAGAGAAGGAGAAAGCACCCCTCAACGGGGTTGATCAGGACGTAATCCCTTCTCCACGCATGCACATGCACCCAAAGTGTTTTTCAAGACACTGGAGCCAGGATTTGGGACATGCGGTCGGCCATGTAAGATTGATTTTTTTTTAACCACTAGGCCAAGGGCTGGCCCAATTTGAAACATTTTCATCACTCAAAAAAACCCTTGTACCTTTTATCTATCACTCCCAACACTCCACTTCCCATACCCTTCCAGCCCTAGGCAACTCTAGATCTGCTTTTTGTTTTTATGGATTTACCTATTCCGGACATTTCATGTAAGTGAAATCATACGATGTGTGATCTTTTGTGACTAGCTTTTTTTTTAACTTGGCATAATGCTTTTAAAGCTTACCCATGTTGTATTATGTACATCATTATATGGATAAGCCACATTTTATTTGTCCATTCATGCATTGATGGACATTTGGGTTGTTTCTGCCTTTTAGCTATTATGGATAATGCTGCAATGACCATTCCCATACAGGTTTTTGTGTGGACGTGTGTTTTTCTTTCTCTTGGGTATATACCTAGGAGTGAAATTTCTGGGTCAAATGGGAACTCTTTGTTTAACAATATATTGGTTTTGAAAAGAAAAAAATCTTTATAACTTTTCATATTTGGTACATTTGATATCTAAGTAGAGCAAAAAATAAGTTCTGGACAAGCACTGTCTTAGCAATTGTTCCTCTCCTTTGCTCTGTTTGTGAATTTCAAACAGTTGTTACTAACTGTATCATTGCCTGCATTGATGCGTTGTTGGGAAGGGGGACAGAGGCAGAAATGCAGAAGGAGAGACCAAGCTAACAAGGAAGGATGAAGAGAGGGTATCACAGTTGAGTCAGAGGGAAAGGCAAAGGGAGAAGACAGGAGAAGGAACTGGCATGAGCATGTAAGGAGGTAGGGATGGGAAAGGGGGTGAGCAGCAGGTCTCATCTCGGGTCAATGCCGAGGCCATGGCCATCTGGGGCATGAGGAACACACAGATAACCCTGATCCAGCAGGCATAGCCTGGGGTGGGGCTGATTCTGAGCACAGACTAGCCCTTGTAGCTGACCCATATAGCCTGCTGTGGGCAGCTGATGGAGGAAGGAGGCTGTTGTAAGGTTCTTTTCTCCTCTGAAGGGTGGGTCAAACAGAGACACGGAATTGGAAAAAGACACGAGGCATTGATGTCATGTTGTTTATTGGCTGAGTTCAAGGTGAGCTCACAACACTCTTAGTAGGCTCCTAAAGCCCATAGCAGTGCTTGCAAGTGCTTCCTCCCTCTTGGAGCTAGTAACACATGTGGAGAACACTCACAGAGTGGTATTGTTATGGTGAGCTCCTCACAATGTGTCTGGAGCTGAGCTGAGCTGAGCCATGAGAGTGCATCAGCCTGAACTAAGGCTGAGCAGAGCACGGCTAGCTAGCAGGGCAGGGCAGGCTGGGTAGCACTAACTGACAAGGTTTTTCCTTTCTCTTAAATGGCTTGTAGACCATAGTGACTCGTTACCAAAACCAAACTGTCACACATGCACATGTGTGATACAATCAATGGCGCAAAACAGCAAAGTCACAATTACATGACAACCATGCAAGCTTAATATAACTATTAACATAGGTTGTTTACTCTGTGGCCTTCAAACATGATAAGACAGGTGAGGGAGTCAGACTAAACCATCCTGACTCCATTTCCAATACAGAGGCCCTTCAAATGGAGTTTGGGGCTACCTGTTTGCAGAACCAAAGACTCTATCATTGTCTTTTGGGGTTCGAGTTATTAAGATGATTTTCTGGGGCCTCTGTCTTGAGGAGCATCAGATAAGGTAGGTGGCTGAGTCTGCTCATGGACAGGCATGTACAGAATTTAGATGTCCATGGAGGAGAAGGCAGGCCAGCATGGCCAGGAAAAGGGCTGTGCAAGGAGGGCTTGGGCAAGAGATGTGGACAGCAGCTGAATTTTAAAGAAGATGCAGAGAGCGGCTTTGAAGATTGAAGTACTAATTTATTAGTGAAAAGAAAAGGGGTGTAGGAGGCACCAATTGGAGGATGGGTGAAAAGCAATAGAAAATGCCCCCCGCCCCGAAAGTGTGACATCTTGTTCTAAATGGCTTAGATTTTAGAGCAGTGTTGAAGTTGCCTGGGAAGCTTTAAAAAATATCCATGTCCAAGCTTCACTCCCCACATCTCTTACTCAATTGGCCAGGGTTGCCCCCCTTAGCTTCTCAAAGTTTTTTTTAGCAGCTCCATTGATTGCAACAAGCCCAGATTCCCAAGACTGACTTAGAGCTTCAATTCCCAGTGTGGACCCTAGACCAGTGAGTCGGCATCACTGGGGATTTTTTTTTGAAAACATACTCTACACATACATGGCTGACTGTGATTGCAGTCCCAGACCTGGAGGCCTGCTTTGTTACTTTCCCTCTCTCTTGTTCTCTCTCTCCGTGTCTCTCTGCCCTGTAGAAAATAATAATAATAGTAAATAAAACTAAATAAATCATTCTTTAAAAAAGAAGCACATTGTGGGCTCTACCCACTCCTGCTGAATTAGAAACCTGGGATGGGACCCAGCCATCTGTTATTTTGATGAGTCTTCCAGGTGATTGTGATGCCTGCTAAGTTTGTAAACTATTGATTTCATCCTGGGCTACTCTTTCACCTCCCTTAGCGTCAGTCTTCTCAACAGTAAAATGAGATAACAATACTCAACTCACAGCATAGCGTCAGTCTTCTCAACAGTAAAATGAGATGACAATACTCAACTCACAGCCTTCTCTGAAGGAGCCAATGATGTATGCATGCAGCATGGTGCCTCCCACATGGTAGCTGCTGGTCACTAGGGCATTCTACTGCTTTTACACTTGTCATCACAAGTGCAGATTTGCTCGGCATGCATCATTGTAGTGGCCCCCAGCCTTTTTGGCATTTGGGACTGGTTTCATGGAAGACAGTTTTTCCATGGATCAGGGCGGCGGGTGATGGTCTTGGAATGATTCAAGCATATTACACTTATTGCACACCTTATTATTATTACATTGTAATAACAGGGACTGGTACCAGTCCACGGCCCAGAGGTTGGGGACCCCTGCTTTCCTAGGATCCCACACACATGAACTATGCCTGATTTCAGCTGCTCCATCCCCAGAAAATGTGGCGTGGTGGACTGGAAACCTTGTGGTTCAGCATGCTTGAAACCGATTTGGGTTTAGGAATTCCACAGGACTAGGAGAGAGAGTCAGCTGATTCTTCCAGGTGTTAGACCTCAGCCACACTTCGGATGTCCTGCTGGGATCGGGGATGTCTTTCAAATAGGGAGGTGAAGCATGTCTTGCATCTTAGAGGGAGCTCTGGGTGAGAGTGCATAGTGGTGAGTGGGGTCTGCCCCGGGCACAGGAAGCATTACCAGCGCTAGAGCCTATTTGGCAGTGAAGGGACAGCTGCAGAGGGTAACAGGCACCTGGAGGAGGGGCAGTGGCCAAAGCACCCATCACCAATGTGACTGGAATTCTTTCCTGGTCCAGGTGCCATCCTGGTCCTCTGCTGGCCAGCAGGTCTTCAGGTTGTTACCAGCCTTGGAGTGGGCACTTGAGTTCTTTGGCAGTGTTTGGTTCCCCACCCAGGCATCATCCTGACCCCTGGGCTGGCCATTGCTTTGATGTGGGCCCCAGGGGCATTTTTCTAGCAGGTGATACTTAGATTGTAGTTATATAGGAGTTAGGGGAGAAGGCGGATTGGGTTAAGCGTGAGTCCTAGAGCTAATCGAGGTGTGTAGGGGCTGCCTAAAGCCCCTCGCCTTGACATGGGTCACCCCCACAGAATAGCTCCTGCCTCACATGGTGTGTCTGGTGCATTTACAAATCCTCATCCCTGCAGGGTGGAAATCCCAACCAAAATGCGCGTGGAACGATGGGCCTTCAACTTCAGTGAGCTGATCCGAGACCCCAAGGGTCGACAGAGCTTCCAGCACTTTCTCAAGAAGGAATTCAGTGGTGAGTTTTTTTTTTTTGTTTGTTTTTATAAATTTCTTTTTACTTAGAGAAATAATCCTTTAATGCCTAGTCAAGGGTTTGGGGAATTCTCAGCGTATGTGCTCATAACTTTGCTTGTGTTCTTAAACAGGGGTTTTCTCCTATGGCTGTAGGGATGGTACCTCAGTCCAGAGCCCTTCTTCCCATAGGCTCAAAGAGGCCCACAATCGGGGTTGGCGGGGGTTGCATCTGCTCGCAAGTCCGTATTTGCATCGTTTGGATCCCCCAGGGCTCCTCCAAGGTGGCTGAGCCTCATCACCCCAAGAACTCCTGCTCCTCCAGGCTCTTAAGAACAGCTTCTCAGGGAGACATGAACTCTCCCTTCTATCCCCTTTTCTCTCCCAGCCACTTTACTGAGTGGCGCTGCACATTCGATTTGCCTGGGGACATTGCAATACTTGTGTTTGCCAGGATCCATCCCCAGAGGCTCTTTCTGAGCTGGTTTGAGTCAGAATCTCTGGAAGTTTTGAAAACTCCCCAAACGGTGCTACTATATGGCCATGAGTGAGAACTGCTGCCTCAGCTCCTGGCCTGATTTCTTCGGGACCTTGGGGATATGTGGATTCTAATGGACAGGACCACATTTTATGTCCCATCGTGGTGGCAGAGTGACTTATTAAATATGCAAAAAAATCTGGAATACCAAGAGGTCAGATTAGACCCGATTTCACCAGGCTGTGCATTCAGTTGACTTTACTATCTTCACTGACATATCACTTTTTTTGAGATTCACTTCTTTTCTGAGTTCACAGCCCTGGAAAGCTTCAGATTTGAGCCTTGAAACTCAGCAGCTCACTATAACCCAAAGCTGGCTTGTTTGTGGGGTTGCTTTTGAATTGAATCCTAGTGGACATGCCTTTAGCCTGGCTGATGGCCTGATGCAGAATATTACCTTATAATGTGGATTGTTGACAATCTTCTCTCATCAAGCTTAATTGCCTTGATACAGTAAACCCCAGAAAACACAGGCAGAAAAGGGGAGGCACTTAGGATGGTTCTGGGAATAAGTGTATATGGTACCATCTAGTGGTCAAATGACAAACTACATGCTGAATTTTTCCCACCTGCCCATTCTGGGTAAAAGAGAAAATCTGGTGAAAAGATTTCCTTGCCTTATTAAAACTGTATTATTGGCAATATCCTTGTGAGATCCCTAAGGATTCAGGTATGAACAGGGAGAATGATTATGATATTGCTCCTGAAATTTAAAAAAATAATTGAGATAGTATTCACATACCATGCATTGTACAATTTAAGCAAATCAGTGGTTTTTTTAGTATATTCATTAAGTTATGCAACGTTTACCACCATCTGATTCCAGAACATTTGCACCACCCCGAAAAGAGACCCCCTGCCCACGAGAAGTCAATCTCCATTCCTTTCTGTCTCCGCCTGGTCTCCTTTGCCCGCTGACCAACTCCCCCCTTTAGTAACCACTCATCTCTTTTCTATCTCTTTGGATTTGCATATTCTAACCATTTAATATAAACAGAATCATACAATTGGTGTACTTTTGTCTTCTTTCATTTACCATAGTGTTTACAAGGTCTGTCCAGATTGTATTATGTATTATAACAATGCTTTGTTTCTTTTTATGACCACATAATATTCTTGCATGTGTGTGTGTGAGTGTGTGTGTGTATTTTGTTTCCATTTATTCGTTTTGGCTGTTTATACCTTTTGGTTATTGTGAATAATTGTTCCTTTAATTTTAATGCTAAGCCATTAACTGTCTTCTGCTATGGGCAAGAGGGTCTACACTGCGCTTGATTTCAGATCACTTGACTGTCTGTTAACATCTTCGCTGGGCTGTGATCTTAGTCCCGAGGACATCCTGGATGAAGTTGGTGTTGAAGAGGAAGGACCTCTGTTCTTATGGGACAAACATCAGCTTGTTTAGAATTGTGCAGCCTTTTCCAGTCTGAAACACCAGGGAGCTTTCAAAAATATATTGTGAGGGGGAACCAGCAGTTAGCGTAATGGCTATGTCACTGGACTCCCACGTAGTCGACCGCGGTTCGCGTCCCGGACCCAGTGGCTTAAAACTCACGCTGGGTGCGTGTGCATGCGTGCCCAAGATCCCGAGAGGAGAATGGAGGAGAAGGGATTGTGGCGTGACCATCCCCCCCAGGGGGTGATTTCTCACTTTCTGTCTCTCTGTCTCTCTCTGTCTGTCTGGCGAGTGCACGCGCCCTATAGCAAAAATCTCTCCAAAAAAAAAAAAATATATATATACATAGTGAAAGAAGAGGAAGGCTGTCTCTTGTCCATTTCCTACACGGCAGCATTCGTGGTTTACACACACATGCACACACATAGGCTCTTGCTCTTCCATTTGTTTTCCTAGACAAAAATGGCCACCTTGGGTCACTGTACCCGTGTTTTCACAATGCTTCTGCATGTTGTGGAGAACTGGAGAGAGAACTTCACACTGGAGGCGGATAAAGGATTTCAAGGAATATGGCTTTGTTTCTTGGCCCAGAGCAGCAGATGCCCTCTGGCTTAGGGGATACTCAATTAAGTCCCCCTTGTGGCCAGGCCATCCTTGAGGGTCAGTCTGTTGTCATTGTCACTGCTTTTGAAGCCTCTCTATATGGATCTTGGGTCTGGAATATGCCCTTTGAGGAGCTGTAGAGGATGGGGATTCTCTGTGAGGGGTCTTAGAAAGGTCACAGAATATGCACATTATGCAAAAACTATGCATGATTTTAAAAGATTTGTGCACCAAAATTAACTCGTACTTTAATTTCATTTCCCCATGAACTGTTTGAAGTCTCCTCGTATGAAAAAAGAGACTGATCTCATGTGTAGTCATCAAACAGGGCAAAGTAAACAAGGGTAGTTAGGAAGCAAATGTATCGTGTAGTGTTTTATTTTATTTTCTGCTGCTATACCAGAATACTGGAGCCTGGGAAATATATTTATTTACTTAGAGAAATTTCTGCTGTAGGGCACATGCACTCATTGGAGAGACAGAAAGTGAGAAATCACCCCCAAGAGGAATGGATCTGCTATAATCCCTTCTCCTCTAGTCTCCTCTCAGGATTTTGGGCACACACATACACACACCCAGTGTGAGTTTCAAGCTGCCACGTCTTGGACCTGAACCATGGTCAAATACGTGGGAGTCCAGTGCCTTAACCACTATACCACCCACCGATCCTGACTATAATGAATAGGAATTTAGTTGGCTCACTGTTCTGAAGGCTGGGAACTCCAAGGGTGTGGCACCCACATCTGCTTGGTATCTGGTGAGGGCCCTCTGGCTGCACCATCCCATAACAGATGGCAGGAAGGCAAGCGAGCCCACAGGATGGAGAGAGGAAAGAAGCCAACCCTGTCTTTGGCCAGGAGCCCACTCCTACATTAAGTCATTAGGCAGAGCCCTCATGACCTAATCACTTACTGAAGATCCCACCTCTCAGCACTGTTGCCTTCATGATTAAGTTCCTCACACATGCATTTTAGGAGACATATGCAAACCATAGTACATAGTGATACAAGGTTGTGAGCCTAATCATATGTGAACTTGTTCAGGCCATGTTTGCTACAGTAATATTCTAAGACAGAAAGAATGTGTCAGCCTCTGGTGGCAGGAAGTACTATGAGCTTATAGCTCACTGGAGGAAAGAATAGCACCACAGTGTAAATGTATTGGTGCAAACATGGCAGCTCTAATCTAGTTTATTTCAAAGACCATGTACTGAGCAATGGCATGGTGCTAGATGCTCTCTTGGGTCCTGAGAGTAAGCTGGTCTCATTTCCTGAAGGGATATTTTGTCACAATGTGCAACGGCTTATTTTGCAGAAGGAAAGATGTCTGCTGAACTAAGGAAACAAACCTATTCCCGCTAACCCATTTCTTCTATTTCCTCTTTTCTTCTTCCAACTTGTTTCCTGCCTGGCTTTCATCTGCATGGGTCTCTCATCCCCATGTAGGGGAGAACCTGGGATTCTGGGAAGCCTGTGAGGATCTGAAGTATGGAGATCAGTCCAAGGTCAAGGAGAAAGCTGAGGAGATTTACAAGTAAGAATTAGCCTGAATGTGGGGAAGACTTCCCTGGGCGGGTGTTGGGGGGAGCTCCTGTTGTCTACCCTTGTTGGATTTGAAGTGGCAATAGAATGGAAAGTGCCACCTGTGTGACTTGTCAGTGTCAGTCATGGCACCTGCCACTGCCATGCAATAGATACTTCCCCACTGCTTTGGAAGGTTTGGGGGAAGAGAGCTTGATGAGACAGATATGAGTTCCTTGCTGTGAAGGGAATATCTAGGGTTTAAAAACAAAATCAAGAAAAGGAAGCTACTCCAAATTATAGTGTGAAGTGATTTGTCTTTGACTAACCCCCCCTCCTACCATCTTCTGATCAATATATGTGTGTGTACTTGTGCGTGTGTGTGTGTGTGTGTGTGTGTGTGAGAGAGAGAGAGAGAGAGAGAGAGAGAGAGAGAAAGAGAGAGAGAGAAAGAGAGAGAGAGGAGGTAAGACAGAGAAAACCTGTCTCCCAAGCCCTCATGGAGATATGAAGACCATGAGGGGAAGGACACTACCCCCACATGGCTGGGACAGGGAGCCCTGATCTGGGTATAAAAATGGGCACATTCCCTATTTCTGACCTCATGGCTCTAGCTCCTGCTTGCTCAGCCTAGCAATGAGTCTGTACCTCTGCAGGCCTGCCTCCTCCAAGTCACCCTCTAAATTTTCCAAGAACTATAAGTTCTACTTCTAAAAGTTCAGTCCTGCTTCTAATGACCCAGTGGAGAGAAAAGAGGAGGTGTGATGATCCCACCAAGCTTGATGAAATTACCCTCCCACCCCCAACATACTCCTCTCCAAACCTGGTGGATGCTTTTGTCCTGCTGTGGTCACATAGTGGGTACCAAAAGCCCAGAATTTGCAGTTGACACGCACAGGCTCCAATCACCATGCTGGACTGGAACCAACCCTTCATAGCCACCAGACCATGGTGCTAGATGGGGTCCAGGCTAAGCTTTAGACAGCAAGTCAGTGCCTGCCCCACTCTCATCCAAGAACTTAACCTTTGAGGCCTTCCTTCAAATGGACTCAGGTTAGACCACCCCAATATTCAGAGAGGGGCTAACAACACTGAAGGGAAATGTGAGGTCCCTCTCTTGTCATACATAGAGGGTCCCCTTCTCTTGAAAATTTGCCTGGCTTTTCCCACAGTAAAGAACTCTGTGTTCCATGAGAAATGAGGATGGAGAGAACCATCGTCCAGGAAGGTCCCATAACCTCCCCCAGAACAATGGGTGCCTCATTGCCTCACACACAACTACACCTGCACAAGTCCCAACTACAAAGTCTGCTGCAAAGGAGCCGGCTGATTCCACCATTCTATCAGCCTCCTTTCTCCCCAGCCTCCCAAGGCATGTTAATCTAGGTGTGAACTCCAAATTTTATTATTATTATTATTGCTTTTTTTTTTTTATTACCAGAGTGTGTGCACTAGTCAGGAAAGAGAGGAAATGCCCAGTGGGGCATGGTCATTAACCAATCCCTTTTCCTCCTTCCTGTCAGAATTTTGGGCACACATGCACATGTACCTGGCATGTTTTTCAAGCCTCCAGGGCCAGGATTGAAATTATGTGGGATCTGGCTCACAGTGCATAGTGCTTAACCACTGCACTATGGTACTGGCCCTACCCTCCAAATAACGTTTGTCTTAGAAGGGTGGGAAAATGTCTATGTATTTCTAAACCTGTGATAACTCAGAATGGGCCATATTAAGAGAACTCTTTGTTTCTGAAACCCCACATAGAGCCACAAGCCTCAGGAAGTATGACCAAGTGTGGCTTAATTGGGGCCTTTGGCCAGGATGACTAAGTGGTCCAACCTCTGGGTGCTGAAATTATGGGATGCCTCCCAACTCAGCATTTCAGATTCATCACCAAACACATCTAGAGTGGGCCAAGAGGGAAGGGGATCCAGAACCCCTGTTCGAAGGTATCCTGGCCTGGTTCCAGACTGGTTCTCAAATCCCAGTGAGTAAGGAGGCAGAAGGTGTTCAATTGGAGGCTGGATCCTTTGCCCCCATAGCTAGGACCCATGCCCCCTGGGCTGATCAAACCACTTTTCTCTCTCTCCTGGAGCTGGGATCATGAAAGTTAACATTCTCATGCCAAATCCTGGCATGGCTATGTTCTTGTTTCTAGAAAAAGTTGCTTGACAACCTCTTCAAAAGTTTAGACCCTTTAGCGTCTCCTGAGAAAGATCACCACCATTCTGGGGAACCTGAGTCATGTCAACCCCTCCCTTCCAAGAAACTGTGAATTTTTCATTAGCTGACTTGGTTTAATGACTTTCACGAACATTTTCCTCTCACCCGAGACTGTTCCTGGCCCCAGGGGCGAGGCGGTGGATAAATATAGATGGCAAAACCATGGACATCACAGTGAAGGGGCTGAAGCACCCCCATCGCTATGTGCTGGATGCCGCCCAGACCCACATATACATGCTCATGAAGAAGGTGGGTGAGGTTTGTGCTGAGAACACATGGAGGCCAGATGCCCTCCCTTCCCCAGGTGCCTGGAAAGTTCTACAGCTCTGGGAGGAAGGGAGATATCATGTGGAAACTGCTTAGCTGGTGGTAGGATACAGCATTGTCACCTGTCTCTTGCCCCCATCCACTGGATTGGGTGCTGCTTGAGTCCTCAAGCCCACGGGCCAGGGAGGACACCTGTGCAGGGTCCCAGAAAACATCCTAGCAAGAAGAGACTTGGCCCTATTTCCTCTCTTCCTTCCTCCCTCCCTTCCCTCCTTTCTCTCTTCTTTCTCTCTTTCCTCCCTTCCTTGCAGTCTCTTGCCTTCATACCCACAACACAGGATAAAAAGGGATGTGTGGCTTAGATGTGGGATCTAGGTGCATATTTAAGGCAGGAGGTCCTCTTGTCCCAGGCTGGGTTTGTCAACAACTTGAAGGAGGATTTTAGTGTATGAAAGTGGAGACTGAGGTTCTCAGACTTAAGGATGCCTTTGATTCACCCAAAGGCTTCTGAAGACTCAGTTTTTCCCACCCCAGAGTTCTGATTTAGTAGGACTGAGGTAGGCTCAAGAATGAGCATATCTAACTGTTCCCAGGTAGAATGGACGCTTCTGGTCTGGGGACCACACTTAAGAAGAGCTGCTCCCAACACCAACCTGAACACCTTTCACACAAGGAGACAGTCTCTCCTAACTTGGCCATGTTACTGCAGAGGGAGGACTTGAAAACGACAAGTGTATTCGTTTGCTTTGACACTTTCCCTCTTCTAATTACTGTTTTTTTCTTTTTTCTTTTTGCTTGTTCCCACTAGGATTCTTATGCTCGCTATTTAAAATCCCCAATCTATAAGGAAATGCTGGCCAAAGCTATTGAACCTCAGGAAACCACCAAGAAAAGGCAAGTGAAATTGTCTGTAATTGCTGGCTGCCTGCTGTTTCGTTTACAGAAGTGGGGGTCTCTTTCAGCCAAATGGCTATTATTGAGATATTTGCTTGATGAAAATATTGAAGCCTGGGAAGTATTGAGTGCCTCATTTGCTTCAGAATGCCCTGAAATCACTCCAGCAAGATTTCCTTAGTAATTACCACAGTAAGTTTTGTTTCCCTAATGCTGTTTTGAAAAAAGTTTTGATTATCAGACCAATAATTAGCCTTATTGTAAACGGAAGCTTCTCATTGGTTAATTGCTACTCTTCCCCACCTCCAAACTGATTTAGCTATATTAATTTAGCCAAATTGTTTTTATCTAAATAGTTCCAAGACCTTAGAGAGATTAGCAGATTGCGCCCCCATAAATAGTTCCAAGACCTTAGAGAGATTAGCTGACTGCACCCCAAGAGAAAATTCTAGACTGTTAAGGGAAACCAACAATCACAGCCCAAGTATTCTCACTGCCTCCAGGGATCGCTTTTCAGATGTCCATTAATTCATTCATCCTCTTTTCCTCATTGAAAATGTGGATCACCTCATCTCGTAAAACCACTGAGACAATGGATGAAATAATGTTCTGAAGGGGAGATTGAACTCTTTTTTTTTGAGAAAAAATACTCTACAGGGATTGAAGATTCAAAAGAGTAACCAGATGACAGCTTGAACAAAGCCCTAGGACTTTGGCAGAGGTTTCCCCACTGCCAGCCGAGTGTCCTGTCCCGCCATAGTCAATGTTCCCATTTGCCGGTTCAGCCCACGCTGGGCTCTTTTCCAGCATCTTCAGTCAATTCAAAGGCAGGGTGGTTAGAGCCTTTATCAAAGGAGCTTAGGGGGAAAAAAAGAGAAAAAAAACCTAACTTGGTTTTATTCTTGAAGATAATGGCTCTGTTATGAAAAGAGAAAGGAGGTCTTTGTGGCGCTATTCTTCTGGGTTTATGGGGTAAGGAAGGGAGTCGAGTGTCCCTGGGGACTTGAAAACTCCTTTAAGCCACAAAGAGGGTTGTAACAGCGCTAGACACTCTGCCAAAAAGTAGCAGGGGAAGGTTGTAGAGTCTTGTACTACGCTTTCCAAAGTTTTGTACATTGGAGCGGACCTGAGAATTTACTGGGCTCTTTTCTGGAGCACAATGGGGTTCTGAGTGTCTGGAGTGGTACAGACCCCTGGTAGAGCACTCGGCTTTGGAACTGGGTGCTACAGTATGATAATGCCATCTTCACCATCAAGAGTGAGAATTCCGTGTGACTGTTTGTGTTAGTGTGAAGCTTGGCCTATATTCACGCAATGATTGCGATCGGTGTGGATTTGTTGCATGACTTGCAGGTATAAGACATATATTACAACATTATTATTATTATTATTATTATTATTGAGAGGTTTTTGCTATAGGACACATGCGCTTGCCAAAGAGACAGAGAGAGATGGAGAGAGAGAAAGTGAGAAATCGTCCCCTCCCAGGAGGGAGGACCATGCTGCAATCCCTTCTCCTCCATTATGCTCCTCTGGATTTTGAGCAGAGACACACACCCAGTGTGTTTCAAGCTGCCAGGTCCAGGACTCAAACTGTGGTTGACTACATGGAAATCCAGCCCAGCACCTTAACCATTACGCCATCTGCTGGCCTCAAAACTTAATTTTTAAAATTGCCATAGGGCATGTGCATTCGCCAGAGAGAGCTAGAGAGAGAGGGAAGAAGCACACTCCCTCTCTTAATGGGGCATGGTTATGCCGTAATTTCTTCTCATCCATCTCTTCATCCTACTGGGACCTTAAGCATGCACACCCAGGTGCCCAGAATGTTTTTCAAGCTGCTGGGGCTGGTGTTTGAACCACAGTTGGCCACGTGGTACCCAGGCTTTCTTAACCACTATGCTATGGAGCCAGTCCCAAACTTAATTTTTTTAGGACAAGTTAAACCTTGCTCTGAGCCGTCCTGTTGACAGGACTGGCTAAAAAGCCAATATCAGGCATCACTTACTGGTAGGGAGGCCCTCCTTCCTCCTAGTATAGATGCAAGAGTTCTAGGGCTAATATAGTCCAGAAATTCAGGGCAGGTCCTAATTCTGTCTTGTCATTTGTATTGAAGTGTGTATTTTCCAATCCTGTGTGGGCCCCCTAAGGCAGAAGGATCAGCAGCTTACCTTGCCTCACTCAGACGCCTAGAGCTGAGGTGGGGAAGTTGGTCTCAGGAATCAATGTGTGGCTTCTGAAGAAGGTTCTGCATGTTTCAAGATACTGAGCTTGAGAAAGTGCTACTCGCCCACCTCCTCTCGCTGGCCCCTTCCCCCCTCTCTGCCCATTGGGGCCTAGCACTCTTGGACAGTTTCCTCGTAGAGCCTTGACTTTGGGGAACAAATGCTCCTACTCTCTCTGGCACTAGAGCTCCTGGGCTTCCAGTAGCCCAGGCCTCCTTGCCCTTCTTTTCATGAAGATTGTGCAGGAAGATGAGGTAAATCAATGTCTAAACATTGTTGAAAGTATGTCCATAATCTTCCCGTGCTAATTTAAAATCTGAGGGCATCTGGCACTGACTCCGGTGTGTTTCTCAGACTTGAGAAAAGAATAAGGTTGGGCACCGCTTTGTGGACACCATTTGAGGTTTACTGGGACATTGAGGGGAACGAATACGATTTCTAGCCCCAACACCCACCAGGTATACAGTGTCCTGCTTGGGCAAGTGGTATGGTTTTCTGGCAACCTCCAATCTGTCCTTCCTTCCAGCTCCAGCCTCCCATTTATGCGGCGCCACCTGCGCTCCAGCCCGAGCCCCGTCATCCTGAGGCAGCTGGAAGAAGAAGCCAAGGCTCGAGAAGCAGCCAACACAGTGGACATCACCCAGGTCATGAGCAAGCTGGACCGTAGGAGCCAACTCCAAAAGGAGCCGCCTCCTAAATAAATTTCTGATTCCTGGGGTGGGGGAGGCATGCCTTTGGCAGAGGCAAACAAAAAAAGGTAGAGTCAAAGTCTAGAAGGTGCTATTTCCCATTAGTGCGGCAGTAGGGTCATCAGGTTTGTATATTCCTCTAACTTCCTTCATTGTGGACATCCCAAGACCACAGCAGACAGAGCTTGTTCTCCTACCTCAGCTCACCCAGGGACAGGGCAGTGGTGTGGGAGTGGCAGGAGGGTTCCAACGGACTCAGTTGCTGTGTGACTGACTATCTTACCTTAGAATGTTCTTGCAATGAGAACCATAGGGAAAACAAGCTGCTTTGTAAAATTAAAGAGAAGGCCTCTACCTACCCCCAAATCATATTTTGTTCAGGGACATTAGGTTAAAATGAACTTTATGAAGTTCCTCATCTTTTCCATTTAGACTCTGCTTCTAAAGCAGCCCGAGATCCCCCAAAGAAGCTAGTTGTAGGGTTCCCTATAGAAGCACATCCCTGCCTGGGAAGGTCCTATTAAGATGGTCTTCCTACTGAGTTTGATGTTAGTCATAATTGTCTGAGGGTCGGTGGTCTCTCTTCTTCCCATAGTCCACTCCCTGTATATGCTGGAGGAATAAGGAACTTGTAGGAAGGAAAGATTCCTGCCTGTGGCCTTAGGGCAGTCAAGGTGAAATGGCCTTCTGAGCAACATCTTTCTGACTAAAGAACAAAGGTACTAATGTCTTCATTCGTAAGATGAGCGTTGGTAGGCATCTGCGACATTTTTGATATAAGTCATAATCAAAGATAATACTTCCTAGAATATTTTCTAGAGGTTGGCCTTTCCTTCCTCTGTAGCTATAGACTGGGCCAGCCCTGTGGTCAGAGATGGAAAGAAGATAATTCAAACTCTGGCCTTGGGAGGCCTAGAAGGTCATTTTCTTTTTTCTCTTTTCTCCTCTCCTCGCCTCTCCTCGCCTCTCCTCTCTTCTCCTCTCCTCTCCTCTCCTCTCCTCTCCTCTTGTCTCTCTTCTCTTCCTCTTTCCTTTTCTTTCTTTTCTTTTTAGAGAGAGATTTTTTTGTTGTTATTGTAGGACTCATGCACTCACTGGAGAGACAGAGAGATACAGAGAGACATAAAGTGAGAAATCACCCTGCAGGGGGACTGGCCACGCCACAATACCTTCTCCTCCCATCTCCTTTCAGGATTTTGGGCATGCTATAAGGTCATTCTTGAAGTTAGGGTCATCCCATACACCTGTGTAAGAATGCAAATGAGAAAGAACAAGAACAATAAAACTGCAGGAGACCAGCCTTACCAAGCGGGAATACCTACCCATCCAACATATTTACCAAACACCTATGATGTGCATGGTATTGGTGACTAAAACAAAAGTAGTTCTTCTCTCATGGAGCTTGTAGTCTAGGACTTACAAAAAATCAACAAACTGTCAGGTAGCTGTTGTTTGTGACAAACAGCTACAAAGCTAGAGTCAACAGTAAGTATTTATTTTTTGGACGTAGAGAATCATCTATGTGGCTCTGTTGATCTTGGCTACGTTCACACACTGTCTGGGGGTTGACATATGGTAGCTGGGATGAGTGAAGTGAGTCTCTAGGTTCACACACTGTCTGGGGGTTGACATGTGTTGGCTGGATGAGTGAAGTGAGTTTTCTCTGCTTCACATGTCTCTTACCTTCCAAAAACCTAACCTAGGCCTGGTACCATGGTGTTGGCTGAATTGCAAGGGAGTGAGTGGAAACACGTAAGCCTGCACATGGTCTATTCCATCACATTTTATTGGCCAAAGCAAATTATAAAGCCAGTCTAGATTCAAGGGGTGGAGAAACAGACTCTACCTCTTTAGTGAGAAAAATGTCAAAGACTCATGGCAAGAGACATGAATACAGAGAAAGGTAAATAATTGGATAAATCATTGCAATTAATAACAGAAATATAGTCTTGTGTTGTTTAATGGTGAAGATACAATCTGAGAACTGCGTCTTTAGGTGATTCTGTCATTTTGCAATCATCAGGAAGTATGTTTACATAAACTTGATGGTATAGCTTACGACACACCTATAAAAGGCATAGCCTTATGGGGGGGACCAGGGTCCCATATGAGGTCTGCTGTTGACTGAAATATGTCTGAAATGCAATGGCACATGGCTGTGTGATAAAGCCTGTCAAATATGTTAAAATGAAGTGGAGATGATACCGTGATGGGAAAGTGGTGAGTAGGCTACCCCTCTCTGAGGCGGTGACAGAGTAGAGGATGATAAAGAGTTGACCATGTAAAAAATCTTAGCCATGCAGGGAGAATGTTCTAGGAAGAGGGGATCGTGTGAGTGAGGTAGGAAAATGGTAGTGAGTTAGGAAATGGCTATTCTGTAAAGCCAGGTGAAAGGAGCCTGGTGAATGAATGAGAGGAAATGGTACCTGGCAAGTTTAGAGATGTGGACAGAGGCCAGATTATTGAAGACCTCCTAGGCCATTGTAAGGAGTTTGTGATCATTGGTTTCATGTTAGCAAAATGATTCCAACTCAGAAGAGAGGGGGGCTTCCCTCCCATTTTCACTAGTCCTGAACTACTTTATAACCTGGAAGAGTATGGACTGATAAGGTTTGTTCAACTCTCTTTGGAAGAATGTTGGAGTCCCCCAAATCTTAAGGGTATCCAACGCAGAAATTTCAGTACTAAATCATTGTAAACTGAGTGACACAAGGGAAGGGACCATATTTATCACCACTTGGAAGATAATGCCTGAGACCCAGTAAGTTCTGCATAAATGTGTATTCCATGAAGGAATGAATGAAGAAACAAAAAGAGACCTGGATTTTTAGAAAGCCTCCTGGGGCCTGGTCCTGGTTCTAGCACTAGCCAGAGGGTTTTGAGCAAGTTTCTTAAGCTCTCTGTTTCCTTATTTCTGAAATGAGGGATTGGAACCAGATCCATGCTTCTCCAAACAAATTTTGTAAATTCCAAGAGGATACCCAGACCAGGGCATCAATTTTATTTGAAGATTTTGAATAGGAGAAAAGTTAGGTAATTTTCAAAATTTCACATTAAAATAATCATGAATATATTATGAAATAGAATGCAAAATGTACATGAATTTTTTAAGATAAAATTTGAGACATCAAAGACATTTCATGCTTGGCTGTGGCAGGTTCAAGACTTTGCCCTCAGACTCCTGGGGAACTGTGTTTACCCAGCTTTCATGCTGTTCAGCCTACTTTGGTGGGAAAGTTTGAGAAGCATGAAATTAGAGAATATTTGCTGTTTCTTCAAGTTACTTTGTATGAACTTCCTAGCAAAATGTGATGAGGGTGGTGGTAACGGTGTCCAGCACATAATGAATTTGTTAGCACACAGACTCTGTCTTGTTCGTCTTTGGCTCCACCACCCATCACCCCACTGAATATGGGTTTGCAGGTCACATGTCTCTCATTCTCCAATAGACTGCAGTGTGCTCTTTGTCAGGCAGCCATTAGATACTCTGCTCATACTGATGGAAACCTACTCCACGTCAGACACACAAGCTCCCACGCTCCAATGAGTGACACAACATGTTTATTACACAACAAGGTAATAAGTTTCTCCACCTTATCCATCTGAAGGAGGGATATGGTAAATGGCTTCTTCCTGGCTACAACAATAATGTTCCATAAAGGTATTTTAAAGACCTGTTTTGTGTAAGAATCAGTGGAGGGTACTGTGGTGGATACAAAAAAATGGACAAAATAGTTTCTGTTCTCATGGGGCTGACAAAGGTGCATGGGTGCAAACCATTGTAACATGAGGCAGGATGTGGTTGAAGCCCTTCAGGGGGCTCCAGCCTAGAAAATAGAGACCATACTATACAAGTCATGGACACAGAGGATAGCTGCACTCTCTCAGGAGCACAAACAAGATGGGAGGAGAATACCAAGGAGGAAGGGGTTGATCCTACCTGGAGGCATCAAGGAAACTGGATCTCGAAGTGTGAATAGAATTTTCCAGGTGGAAGGTAGAGAGCTTTGATTAATAATTATAGCCTCCCTGCTTCCAGAAAGGATTTAAAGTGGCTTATAACATTATCATACTATATTATGGAACCTCTAAAAAGATAGATTAAGCCAACTTTTGAAAGTAGGGCTGTGGAGTGTGCCTTGACTGACTAGGTTATCACAACTGAAATACTACATTTTATTTTTACTGAGTGTTAAATTTTGTTCTGAGGTTTCTGACAGCTATCAAGCAATAAGAGAGACAGACTAGTATTAGAATTCTATTGTGTTATAAAATAAAACACTCAAGACCTTCTTGACCTAGATTTTTCTTCCAGCCCCAGGTCCCAACAGGAAGTTGAAAATGTACTTGGGGGGGGGAGAGCGAAAGAGGGAGAGAGAGAGAGAGACAGAGAGAGAGATACACAGAGAGAGAGAGAGATCTAAATCATTCCTCTTCCAGGCATGAGGGATGTAGAACTGCATAAGACAGTCAAGTCTAATTTCATCAAGCTTGCATTGCAGTGAGGAGAGAGAGAGAGTAGATAGTAGATGCTCTGAAAAAAAGAAACCAGGTTCTAGTAACTCTGAATTATGGTAGGAGAGTAAGTTTAAGTGGATTCATTCATTTGGAAGTGATTGTTGAAGATGTGAGAGTGGATGAAAACTCCAAAGAGAGAGGGTGGACAAAGAGAGAAAAAAAGCTTAAAAGGAGATCTTGGAAAGGCCACATTTTAAAGGTGCAAAAGAAAAAAGAAGAGTGAAGGATGGAATAGTAGAGATGTCAGAATGCATCACCAAGGAGGCAGGGTGGACACGAGCTGGGGTCCAGCCACGCTATGTGGAGATGAGAGTGGATGAAAACTCCAAAGAGAGAGGGTGGACAAAGAGAGAAAAAAAGCTTAAAAGGAGATCTTGGAAAGGCCACATTTTAAAGGTGCAAAAGAAAACAGAAGAGTGAAGGATGGAATAGTAGAG